ACTCTCTAAGAGAATATAATTACCAAACATTTATAGACACGTTAATTAATTAATTAATTAACTATTACAAAATATAAGAAAATAAAAAGACAACTTCATAGTGTGAGTCCCATAGATCCACCCCAACTGCCTTCTGGTATTGATAAAAAACTTGTTTTGTCCTTAAAAAAACATAAATCAAAAAAATTATTAGAATTTTATGCATAACATTCACAATCATCTAAATCATTATGTTCAAAAATTAACAAATCATTATGTTCAAAAACCTCGTGATAATGTCAAAATCATGCTAACTACAAAACAAATGCGAGAAAGAGATTAACCGCATCTTCTATAAGGAAACCTTTCAACCACTTTGTGAGAGTTCCTGATTCCAATGATAATTGCCTGAAAGAGAATGAAAAAGGTAATGCTCCCTTGGCCAGCCTAGGGGAGATGAAAATCATGAAACTCTTCACCTTTTTCTTCCTTAGAAAAAAATTTTGCAAGGCAGCAACAATAAACAAACAATTCACAAACCATAACCCATGATAACATCAGAAAACTTGCAAAAATGCAAGTAATGTGAATATACAAACTCACATGAGATGACCCTGTTGGGTTCGCCTGTACCGTACGAGCTATATGCAACGGAATTTAAAATTTTTCAAAACAAGTATTTAACACTTAAATACTTTACTCGTACATACATATGGCAAATTAACAGATCGTCATCTTTAAAAACATGTAATAATACATATTTTGATTTGTTATAAGTAAATTCTAAATTTACCTTAGTCTTGAACTCCTTCAAAATTGTCGATGAATGAGGGAATCGATTCCCGGTTTGTAATAGCAACACCTTTTGGTTACTCACTCAGGAATCCAAGTGTCTTCCCTCTAAATGTATCCACCTTTCGAGATTCGGTTCCGAACTAGTTCCTTTGCTAGTAGAAACTAATCGGTTTTCCTCAATAGTATGAAATATATTTTTAAGGAAATTTTACAAGAACTTTTCTTGTTTTGGAATATGAAGAACACTTCTTCTTTTCTCTCTTTTTCAACTCTTGAAAAATTATATCAAAGACTTCACTTCAATTTGTGCAAACATTTTGCATCTATTTATACTAAACTTTTTAGCATAAATTAATCAATATTGGTAATATTTTATTTCATAAATAAAATCAGATTTTATTTAAAATTCATACCAAATATTGACTTTTAATAAATAAAGTGAAGTGGTTCGTAACCACCATCCACCTCCATTATTTTGTCTTCTCATTATTTTAATCTTTAATTAAATTAAAGATAAAATAATAAAGTAATAAGTTCTTGAAAACAATTTTCAAGACTTTATTATTATAATCATTTCTTTCAATTTCCTCATTTAATAATCATATTATTATTTGGAATTGAAATTTAAAATCCAATTTTAAATTCCAACTATTAATTAGTATTTTCATTAATTACTAAATTAATATCCAAAATTCAATTAATCAATCCAATTGATTAATTTAATATATTCCTTTAGTTGACATCTAATCAAATTAGATTTGTCAATTTAATTCTAACTCTTTAGAATTACTATTTGATTTTCACCTTCATTCAAAAATTGGTGTGACCTTTTAGGTTCACAATTAATACTTAGTAATGGGTTTACAACTCTTTGTAATTTGAGTTAATCAAATTAACTCTTATTCATGAATTAACTCTTTAATTCAAGAACCCACATATCATGGGAACATCTAGCAAGTAGCATGAATCTAGTATTAAGTGAATAGCGAGTAAACCTATTTCAATTACAAGTCCATACATGTAAAATCCTTTCGACATCTAATTTCCCGATTAAATCTTGGGTATGATTTTAGTCGAAACCCAAATTGATTTAATAACTATGATTCTATTTCATGTTTAGTAATTCATGTATGAATCGCTATTCATCCTGCCTTGGCCAAGGACTTTGAATTACTAACTATGAAATACATAGGAAATTCTCGTATCTTCATACGTGTCGAATCCTTTGTTGGCCACTAACAAACTTCCATACATATTAACATAATACCCAAAATATCCCTTTATACGATTGTGCTAGCAACCAAAAGGATAAATCAAAGTAGAACGTAATATGCACAAAGTTACCATTGTGCCTCAAGTCTAAGGATTAGTCATGTACTATTGTAACATGAAAATTCTTATTCGACAGAATAATTAACTAAAATAATTCTTCATTAAGAATTTTCATACGGTCATGTTCAGTGAACTTGTTCTCTAACAAGCACCCACATATATGTACTTGCGTCCCACGCTAATGTTGATGGAATGCAACATTCTTGTCAAACAAGCATACATACTATGTACAAGTCTTTTATGGATTATTCGATATCCCTTTTCGAAACATCCATCGACTTGGAACTTTATTTAAGACCACAGCTTTCAAGGTATGTTCCATGATCACCATCTCTATGCGCAACCATACCTTATAACTATATGTGATCTAGGGATTTTATCTTAAGTGCAAATATAGGATAAATGCTTACTCTTAAGATAAAGTAATGCCTTTTAATTAATATAATTCCAATAGATTGTATTTACAAGTAGAATACATCCAATCCAATTGGAACGCTGGGTATACTACTCTAACAATCTCCCACTTGCCCTAGTTCCAATCACTCATGTATCTTAGACCCATCTTCTCAAGATGTCCTTCGAACACTTTCTGTGATAAAGGCTTAGTTAAGGGGTCTGCTATATTTTCTGCTGAGTCGACTCGCTCCATTACGACGTCGCCTCTACCAATGATTTCTCTAATCAAATGGTATCGTCTCATAATGTGTTTGGATCTTTGATGAGATCTTGGCTCCTTTGCTTGTGCAATAGCCCCATTGTTATCACAATAAATCATTATTGGATCAACAACAGATGGTACTACACCCAACCCTTGGATGAAGTTCCTTATCCAAACAGCTTCTTTTGCAGCATCAGATGCAGCAATATATTCAGCCTCTGTCGTAGAGTCAGCAATTGTTTCTTGTTTGGAACTTTTCCAACTAACTGCTGCTCCATTCAGAGTAAATAAGTATCCAGACATGGATTTATAGTCGTCTTTATCGGACTGAAAACCAGAATCAGTAAAGCCTTCTAGTTTCAGTTCTCCATTGCCGTATACCATAAAGATATCCTTAGTCCTTCGTAAGTACTTAAGAATCATCTTAACGGCTTTCCAGTGTTCTTCACCTGGATTAGACTGATATCTGCTCGTTACACTAAGTGCATGAGCCACATCAGGTCTTGTACATAACATTGCATACATTATGCTACCAATAGCTGATGCATAAGGTATATGACTCATCCTTTCTCTTTCTTCAGGTGTCTTTGGAGACATCGTCTTAGAAAGTGAAACACCATGACTCATTGGAATATATCCACGTTTGGATTCTTCCATGCTAAACCGTTTTAGCACCTTATTTATGTACATAGACTGGGATAGTCCGATCATCCTTTTAAATCTATCCCTATAGATTTTTATCCCTAGGATAAAAGATGCTTCTCCCAAGTCTTTCATGGAAAACTGTTGCGACAACCATGTCCTAGTTGATTGCAACATCCCTACGTCATTCCCAATGAGTAGGATGTCATCAACATATAGAACAACAAATGCAACTGCACTCCCACTAACCTTCTTATAAACACATGGTTCATCCGGATTTTTATGAAAATCAAACGTTTTGATCGTTTCATCAAACCGAATGTTCCAACTCCTCGAAGCTCGTTTAAGTCCATAAATAGACCTTTGGAGTTTACAAACCATTTGTTCACTCCCACTGGATATGAAACCCTGCGGTTGTTTTATATAAATGTCTTCCTTAATGTTTCCATTAAGAAACGCAGTTTTCACATCCATTTGCCATATCTCGTAGTCATAATACGCAGCTATGGCTAGCAATATCCGAATAGATTTAAGCATTGCTACTGGTGAAAAAGTTTCCTCATAATCAACACCTTGTTTTTGAGTATAACCTTTAGCTACCAGTCTTGCTTAAAAAGTGTTTACTTCTCCATCTACACCACGTTTTCGCTTGTAAACCCATTTACAACCTATGGGTACAATACCCTGTGGTGGATCAACCAAAGTCCATACTTTGTTTGAATACATGGAATCTATTTCGGATTGCATAGCTTCTTGCCATTTTTCTGAGTCAATGTCCAACATTGCCTCATCATAGCTTATTGGATCATTATCCAAAAGGAGTCCCTCTTCATTGTCTTTTGACAATAGGTATAGCCTTTCAGGCGCCCTAGAAACCCTTTCGGATCTCCGAAGAGGTTGTGTTTCAGATGGTCCAGTCTCTACTGGTATGTTATTTGTGGTACTTTGTGGAATTTCTTGTGGTTCTTCATTAAGTTCTATGACTCCGCTATTCTTTGAGAGAAACTCTTCCTCTAAGAATATAGCATTTCTCGAAACAAACACCTTTTGTTCAGAGGGGTCATAGAAATAGTATCCAATAGACTCTTTTGGATACCCCACAAAATTACATAAGATGGATCTCATATCCAACTTACCTCCCACTAACTGCTTCACATAAGCAGTACAACCCCATACTTTTAAATATTTGTACGAGGGTGTTTTGCCACACCATATCTCATAAGGTGTGCTGGGTACAGCTTTACTCGACACTCTATTCAAAATATGTGCAGCTGTTTCTAAGGCATAACCCCAGAATGAAAGAGGTAAACTAGTGGAACTCATCATTGATCGAACCATGTCTAACAGTGTTCGATTTCTCCTTTCTGAAACCCCATTGAGTTGTGGAGTTCCAGGAGGTGTCCACTGTGAGANATATCTATCATATGGAAAGGCTAACACATGAGAAGTGTAATGCCTTACAAAGCAGACGACATAAGGGTTACAAAACCTTTCAGCAATTTGTCCATGGTAATTTATTCTTTGCCAACACGTTAATTGTTAATGGAAGAATATTTGTATAAATACAAGTTTAGTGTATCTGCATAATTTTAGTAGCTAATTTTTTGTCTTCATGAACTATTCAGAATGATATATTCGCAAGGTTCTTTAATTCCTTATATATTTTTGGCGTAATTATTTAATAAGATGAGTGTAATTGCAAAATTATAGGTTAATACCTCATCATCAACCTTGCTTAACTCTAATGTTGTGATTGGCAATAGCTTTTTCTACTTCGGTGCAAATGATCATATCTTTCCAAATTGTTTACATATTTTTTAAATGTAATATTTTTTTTCCGTTGCATTTAAACATACATGATGACTACAGTCCCGTTGCAGGATAGTTTAGTTCCGTCAGTGCTTTTAACCATTAGATTCACATGTAGAATATGTGCAGTATATAATCTACGGTTAAAAATATTAATGGAATCATTCCGTCAACGGGACTATAGTCATTCCCTCAAACATATTGTTTAGTCTTAAAGTACTTGATTTGTTAGCGGAAGAGAAGGTTAATTGTTGACACTAAGTTGAAACATTACTAAACCATAACCCATTATGTCTAGTCCAACTGACATGCAAATGTACGGAGCATCAACCGTTCTTATAGTGTTGTCAAATAAAGTCTACCAATTTGCTTCATACTCAAAATTAGAATTTAAAAAATGCTAGGGTTACATTAGCAGAATTCAACTTCAAATCTAAAAATTGTAATCAGTTTAATCCAACTTTTAAATTCAACCCCCCTAAAAAATAATAGTAATTCAGACCATGAACATTTAATTAAGTCAACAAAAGCAAATTAATTAGAAAAAAAAAATGTCATACAACCAGCCAAAAATAGTACTCCAACATTTGCTCATACCACTACAGAACCAAACTGAGTTTTTAATTTGTACACAAAAGATTGGCCGAGCCGCGCTTTCGAAAATTTTTTACGTGCCAAAGCGGTCCCCATCCCCGAGTCCTGGAATTATGAACCTGAAATACAATTTAAGAAAAATTCAAGAAAATAAAACCAACGGCTTTAGCTCTTCCACAAGCTAAAATCAACAATAAAAAGAAAGCAATCAGCATCGCCTATTGCCTCGGTCTAACCAAATCGTCGACTTCACTTCGCTTCGCTTCTAAAGTAAACTTCGCTTCGCTTCGTTTGTAGGGTGAGAAAGTCGTTATCCAGTTTTATCTTAGTCTATTCTCAGTGTCAAAGTTGATTCCTTTGGCACCGAAAGTGATGGGAAAACCCTGGAAACGATTGTAACACCTAATGATACCCATGCAGTTGTTGCCGTCTGCCTCAAGATAATGAAGCAGGCGAAACAGCTCATGGTTCGTTATGTCCCGGACATTGCTGAGATACCTTTTAACCAAGGTCTCAGCTTTGTCCCCACATGGAAGTCTGTACCTAGCGCAGCCAGTAATCGTAAGATGCTGGCAGAACTACTTCGGACGAAAGGAATTCGGAATAAGAAATTCCTCCGAACGTCGTTATTCACGTCATTTTACGACGAGATGAGATGCTCAATGTAATTGACCTCGACTTCTTCGCAAGAAGATATCGAGACGGGGGTATTTACCCCTTTCAACTTCTTTCCTCATAAGCATACGCTTCATCTTCAGATTAAGATCCAGATCGGTGATCGAAACTGAGACTATAGCAATGGAAAATGCATGAACAGAAAGATACGCTTTGGGGTAATGTCATGCGTGGCAAGTATATGAATGACCATGATGAATTTATTACTGTTCAACGCCCTGCTGTCAGTTCTTCTACTTGGCGAGGTATTCGGAAGACGAAAGGAATCTTGGGGAAGGGGTTGCATTGGCGTCTGGGCGATGGTCGTCGAATGTAGTTTTGGACTGATTGGTGGGTAAGCTCAGGGCCTTTAATAGACTCTGTGCTTGGGGAAAGAACTTCCAATTGACTTTCGATGAAGGTTGCAGATGCTATTCTGCCGAATGGGGCTTTGGACTTTCATACTTTTTCTCCCACCGGAGAAAGTTGAAGAGGTACGTGCTACATATATCCCTGATTCTGCTTATGCTCGGGGATTCTTGTATCTGGGGAATGACAACGAATGGTTTGTTCTCCCGTTGCATCAGCTTATGAGGTGGTGACAAGGGAGGAGTTGGAGAATGAAGGTCCAAATCTTGCATGGGTATGGAAGCTGCGATGCCCCCGAAAGGGTGCGCTTCTTCTTATGGAATTTGGTGCAGGTAAAGTTAAAGACTAATTCCATGAGGAGGATCGATGAAGTGGATGGAGTCGATGGTTGACGCTGAGCATTGCCTAAAAAGGGGATTACCGCCTGAAATAATTCGTCCATTCTTTCTTCCTTCTTTGATTCGATACGGAAAGACCATCTCCTTCATTCTCCCAGGAAGGAGTCAGTAGGCAGCTACAGCTAAGCCAGCAGTTTCAGTTAGGGTGCTCTTCCTTACTATTGGAAAGCGAACCTAGCAACCCTTAGACAAGCGAGCTCTAGTACTTGATATCCCTCAACAACCCGAAATGCTATGGTTTGTAAGAAAATGAAGGATAAAAACAACATGCTATTTTCTTAGGGCTACCCGAATAAAAGAAAATGATGGGTCGACCTGACTAATAATTAGGCCGTCACACATAAAAAATTGTGTTTTTCAACATATATGCATTTTTGTCACGAAACTATGACGGATAAAATACATTAACATAAATAGATTGAAAAATGGTTACTATTTTCTTATATTTTTTTAATTTTTCGGCAAATATTTTCTAACTTGCTAAAAATTATGCCTCATTTAACCAAATATATATTGAAAAGGTTGAAACCCTAGATGTTAAATTTAACCTTGGCCAAGTAAATTAAATAGAAGAAATTGGAGATGAGCAAAAAAAAAAAAACATTTTTTTCTCGTATGAGCCTGGGAGAGCTATCAATGTCTTCAATAAGATAACTATTTGTTCGTAGCCTAGATCATTCAAGCTCTCCCCTGTTGAGTTCAAATAATTTTTTTTATTTTTTTAAAAAAATGAACATACATATATAAGAATTAATTAGCTAACCAGAAATTTTAGAATAATTAATATTGACCTTATCTCCTTCCTAATTTTTTAGTTAAGCTCCTTCAATTTCTGCAAGTGCGCCTGCACAAATTTACCACCACAAAAAAAAAAGGCATGAAAATCATCAATTTTATTTACTCTCTAAGAGAATATAATTACCAAACATTTATAGACACGTTAATTAATTAATTAACTGTTACAAAAAATAAGAAAATAAAAAGACAACTTCGTAGTGTGAGTCCCATAGATCCACCCCAACTGCCTTCTGGTATTGATAAAAAACTTGTTTTGTCCTTAAAAAAACATAAATCAAAAAAATTATTAGAATTTTATGCATAACATTCACAATCATCTAAATCATTATGTTCAAAAACCTCATGATAATGTCAAAATCATGCTCACTACAAAACAAATGCGAGAAAGTAATTAACCGCATCTTCTATAAGGAAACCATTCAACCACTTTATGAGAGTTCCTGATTCTAATGATAATTGCCTGACAGAGAACGAAAAAGGTAATGCTCCCTTGGCCAGCCCGGGGGAGATGAAAATCATGAAACTCTTCACCTTTTTCTTCCTTAGAAACAAATTTTGCAAGGCAGCAACAATAAACAAACAATTCATGAACCATAACCCATGATAACATCAGAAAACTTGCAAAAATGCAAGTAATGTGAATATACAAACTCACATGAGATGACCCAACCATCAAATGTGGCGGGATTGAGACCTCCTTGGATTCTTGTTTGGTCTTACTTCCTTTACCACGTAACTGAACCCACATAACACGAAAATTTGTGCCACCAAAATCTAATGCATAAAACAATAGCTTTTTCGTCCATGTACAGACACAAAGGTAAACTAAATCTAAAACAAAACAAGAAAAATCGAAATATTCAGATATTATGGCCAAATTAGAAAATCCCCAAAAACATAAAACCACAAAGAGCACCAAAAATCTTTGTTCTATTGCGCCAATGTTTAAAGCACAGATCTAAAGAAAAATAGCCAAATCAACACGAAGCTAGTACCTAAAGTTTCTTCCACCGACCTACGTCACTAAATTTGGTCTCGCACAATAAACTGTGATTGAAAAACGCTGCTGAAAAAGTATCGACGTTCGGAAAAAATGAGGGCCAACCATTTCTCTAAACTTCGATCGAAAGCTGCACAAATGCCTTGAAAATTGTTAAACGAACAGATTGTGAATTCAAAATGTAAAAATAACCTCGATGGCGAGATTTTCAAGNACAAAAAAAAAAAAACATTCAAGCTATCAATGTCTTCAATAAGATAACTATTCGTTCGTAGCCTAAATCATTCAAGCTCTCCCCTGTTGAGTTCAAATAATTTTTTTTTATTTTTTAAAAAGAATGAACATACATATATAAGAATTAATTAGCTAACCAGAAATTTTAGAATAATTAATATGGACCTTATCTCCTTCCTAATTTTTTAGTTAAGCTCCTTCAATTTCTGCAAGTACGCCTGCACAAATTTACCACCACAAAAAAAAAGCCATGAAAATCATCAATTTTATTTACTCTCTAAGAGAATATAATTACCAAACATTTATAGACACGTTAATTAATTAATTGATTAACTATTACAAAATATAAGAAAATAAAAAGACAACTTCATAGTGTGAGTCCCATAGATCCACCCCAACTGCCTTCTGGTATTGATAAAAAACTTGTTTTGTCCTTAAAAAAACATAAATCAAAAAAATTATTAGAATTTTATGCATAACATTCACAATCATCTAAATCATTATGTTCAAAAATTAACAAATCATTATGTTCAAAAACCTCGTGATAATGTCAAAATCATGCTAACTACAAAACAAATGCGAGAAAGAGATCAACCGCATCTTCTATAAGGAAACCTTTCAACCACTTTGTGAGAGTTCCTGATTCCAATGATAATTGCCTGAAAGAGAATGAAAAAGGTAATGCTCCCTTGGCCAGCCTAGGGGAGATGAAAATCATGAACTCTTCACCTTTTTCTTCCTTAGAAAAAAATTTTGCAAGGCAACAACAATAAACAAACAATTCATAAACCATAACCCATGATAACATCAGAAAACTTGCAAAAATGCAAGTAATGTGAATATACAAACTCACATGAGATGACCCTGTTGGGTTCGCCTGTGCCGTACGAGCTATATGCAGCGGAATTTAAAATTTTTCAAAACAAGTATTTAACACTTAAATACTTTACTCGTACATACATATGGCAAATTAACAGATCGTCATCTTTAAAAACATGTAATAATACATATTTTGATTTGTTATAAGTAAATTCTAAATTTACCTTAGTCTTGAACTCCTTCAAAATTGTCGATGAATGAGGGAATCGATTCCCGGTTTGTAACAGCAACACCTTTTGGTTACTCACTCAGGAATCCAAGTGTCTTCCCTCTAAATGTATCCACCTTTCGAGATTCGGTTCCGAACTAGTTC